CCACGCGATCACATACCTGTCATCACCATGCGGAAATCACACAATCACACACTTTCGCGGCGCTGATGAGACTATCCACAACCACGCATAATCTTCTCACGTTTAACATGAGCGAAATATCATCGAATAACTAGAAAAAACTCAGCCTATTGCCAGATAAACACTTCTGGAGTTTTCTGTTACACTCGTCTCATTCAAGTTCCTGGATGTAGAGCCACAAGTCTTGCTCTCACCTAATTCATTTGACTCCTAAGAGCCTGTTCCCGAGGCCAAAGACTTAATGGTCACCTTAGAGAAGCGAACAATATCGTACCTCTCTGTCACAGCCCGGATCAGGGTGATTGATCCGTTTAGCCAAATGAAACGAGAATATAATACGATATTGGACGATGCAGACTCTTCGAATCGTAATAACTTTACCTTATCTCAGAGCTTTACATGATGCTCTCCGGGAAGTTTCTCAAGGTGACCAATATCTAAAACTAAACTGCTAAACGGCACCGAAACCAGTTTTAGGCGCGCACTGATTTCGATTAACTGTCACTTGTGTTAAACAAAGAATTGTGGGTAAGGAAGAAAATAGGGAGAGGGGGGGGTAAGATAGTAATTCTGTCTACATCAACTTCTACACAAATCCCTAACCAAACACATAAGCAAACAACACAGTAAACAAGCTGTTAAGTTGAGAAAATTACAAAATGTTTGTTAACCCGGTTTTCATAACTTCAGGTATAATTACAGTTGAAATATACAGTCAATATGCCCGAAAAAAAAAAAAAAACCTCGATTTGCTTGAACAGGGGGCCGCAAGGAATCGTTGGGTAATGATGACCGTGCCTATTGTTCGGGCCCCCAAGTAAGAGTCGTACGGTCATACTTCGATAACCTTTTGCGTTACGCGTTATCAGTGACATTCTGTGAAACAGCTGCTTTGAAAGTTGTGGACCAAAAGACACACGTTAAGTGCAGATGATGTTATAGAGCGCGTATAATTGTGTACACATAAACAGTTTAAACAGTTTAAATCTTTGACTGGAAACAATTTGCCAGACACTCTTTCTCCCTCTTCGGCGAATAAGTCTCAGTCCAGAGACAAACAAGACAAGGGAATCAACTGCTAGCTTAATACTAGTGGAACGGTGGGCGATTACAAAAATTCGCCAACAATTAAATTCTGTGCTGACGTATTTCCTGCTCACAGATATCCTTCTATAAAGTTTTTAAAAAGGACTAGAATGCACGAGCGTGAATTGATCAAAACTTTGAATTTGTGAAGCTTAAATTCCGTTAAATAAAATGAACTGTATGTAAAAAGTGAATGAGAAACAGGGAAAAATTCCAACTTCTAATTAATCATTTTTTTATGGTTTTTGGAATAAACTATTCTCGAAACTGAGAATGTTTTGACCAAAGGTGTGTAAATCGAAGTTAATAATCAGTGCGTAACCTTGCGTTTCCTGTGTTTATCTCACCTGTTGTATGGAATATGCGTGAAGTCTTCATCATGAATCGGTATATTTCAAAGAGCGACATAACGACCAAGAATACTATAGTTAGTAGAGAAAACTGGTAATGAAAGTCGGCGAGCTTGAAAGTCCTATATCTATGTTTTGGTTTTTGCCTTGTCAAGTGATCGCGACGGTGCACATTTTCAAACCATCATGGCGTCCATCGAGTAATTTCTTATTAGCTGTGCATAATTTGTTTAGATTTCTCCGTAATTTACATCAGTATGTGGTTGTCATTTTGCAAGAAATATAAAAGTTATGCAAGGGGCTAATGGCTCAGTATTTGGCTGTGGTTTGTGCAGACGAACGAAGGGAACTGGTATTTGGAAGCTGCCTGTAGCAAAAGACGAAGCTCATGGAAAATGACGAGACGAATGGCTTGGAAAGATAAAAAAGACAAGAGAAATGGATCAGAACTTCAGGGAACAGTCGAAGAGCGATGCAATATATACCTGTGAGAAACATTTTGCGCCTGAAGATATCGAAATATGTCAGTACATGTTTGTACACTTGTTTTCGTTAAATTGTCGGATTTGCTTTGAACTGGGTTTTCATCGATTTTTCGATCAGTGTTGCTGCTGTTTGAAGTTCGTTCTCAATGTGGATATGGTTTTAGTTTTGACCAACTTGAAGTCAGCGGGCAATTTTATCCTTTCTTTGATAGATCACCCCCCGAAATGACTAAAAAGAAGCCCAAATTTGGAACTTTGCCGAAGTTGAATATGCCTACGAAAAGTTATGAAAGAGGCAAGCCTTACACCACGTCCTGAACGTTCGGTTGTAAAATGTAACGAGGGGCCTTTACCACAGCTGCTACAATGGATTTTCAGAGCTCTGCCAGCGAGTTAAAAGCCTAAAAAGCCTTGGTAACTGGACTCTGAAGATCTTTGATGACAGAATAGTGCTTAAGAAAATGGTGGATCTGTACGTGCTGCCACATTTAGAAATTATTATGGATGATAATCTTGGCTTTACTGAGAAAGTTTTTGGTTCCTACTTCCCTGAAGATCATCCCTTATACCTGGATTATCGTAGAACAGTTCGAAACATCACTCTAACGGAGCTAGGGGTACATATTGTGCGATGGTGTGTCTACAATCATGGAACTTAATGGAAAATTGTATCATCATGTCATACCATTGATTCATGACACATTTGGAGAAGAAAAGGAGCATCAGTTCCCACAAAAGGGATTTTGGAGAGCAAAAGGTTGTTTTCTTTTTGTCAGCAAGTTAGCCCCTTTTATGAATCTCTTCTGGCAGGAACAAAAAAGGCTCTTTTCGAGAAGCAGCACAGGAGTCCGCTACCATCCTATGATCATCCGGTTTTGTCTTTCTTAAATTTTAACCCGGGTTTCTTTTTCTTTTCTTCAAAAGCATTTTCCAGGATAATTTTCTCTATTTTTCTTAGAGCCCCTAAATAACAAGTTACCGTGTGGCACAATATTTTTGCAGGTTCTAATTTTTTGCCATTTTTGCGGTTTTTCCAGCGATCCGCAAAAACAAATTTCCGCAAATATAAGTTACCGCAAACATTTTTCCCACAAAAATTTGATTTGTTCCAGAGTAAATATTCTCTAACCTAACATCAGTTAATTAATGACTGTTTTACCGCTTTTTGAATAGTAAACAAAGTATGTCTTTTTTAACAGAATTTTGAAATTTTATGGTGCTTTTTTGTTTGATTCTTTGTTTTTGCCACGATAATACGACGTGTTTATAGTACTAAAGCTCGATCCGAGAATTAAATCTCTGTCAGTCACACACTGAGAAAAGAGAAAAAGAACCAAATTAAAAGTAGTACGAGTGAAATTCTTGAAGGCAATCATTTCTTCGATAAAGTTAGGTCATTGAATTAATTCATCGAGCTCAATCTAAAGGGGTGACGGTCAAGCCTGCTCGAAAGACACAAGACATTGTAAGCTCACGGTAAGCTCACTAGTCGAGTCACCAACACAGTTATCTAATGCTGTAGACGACATTCAAAGACTGCCATCTGAACCTGTAAGGTCTGTAAGTTCGTTTGTTGAATCGTTAACATCTAATACTGAAGACGAAATTCAAAGATCGCACATTGAATTGGAAAAAATTAAAAGAGAGCAAACTGAAAAGGAAGAAATTCAAAGACTGAGAAGAAAGAAAATGAAAGATTACAGATGCAAAGAGAACTCGGCTCTTTGAAAAAAGAAGTGAATAAATTAAAGTACAAATTGGAAAAAGATCGACTGTTCAATATTGATGACTTCAAGGATAATAATGCAGATATCACGTTTTTTACTGGTTTTCACTAGCTAGATTCTGGATGCTACATGAGAAGATCAGACTTAAGTTTACTTTACGGCACTAGCTCTCTTGGTGAGCCCTTGACCTAAGTAACTGATGAAGGATCCAATATTTTGGTTGTGAAACCGGTCTTTCAGTCATAGCTAAGCAGAGTGTTTCGTTCTTCTTAGAACTCATAATCAACAATGACACACTTACAATCTGGTACCAAATAGATCAGTGTTATTTTGCCTTCACTGCGGAAAGCCTGGTTTTGTACTTGCATCTATGCGATCTTTTGACTCAAACAAGTATATTCTCAACCTGCTACCGATTGCAGATTAATGGAAGGAAAGCTTTCCATAGCACTCTTTAGTCCTACTTCGATATCGTTTAAGGACTACGCAATCCCAAGAAATTTTATTCTTGATCACCTCTGATTATAGAACCACGCTCGACCTGCAGTCGAGCATGTAATTCTGACTACAGCGTAACCGAGCCAATAAAATAAACTTAAGCTTAATTTGAAATACCTAGATTTGTAAATTACAAACCTTTTGCGGGTAGTAGTATTAACAAATAATAGCATGATTTGTACAATATATTTGGCATAAATACCACTCGTGATATTTCAAAATTATCCCCGCAAATTTCACTCGCCTTTTTTCCTGTAACAATTTCGAAATATCACTCGTGGTATTTATGCCAAATATCACTTCAAATCATGCCTTTACCTGTACTATTCGACTGTACCTGGAAATTTATTTTCCTAAGTTACTTGTAAACCATAAGTAATGAAGAACACATACACTGTACTTGGGGTTGAACTACAAAAAAAAAATAGCGAGATACCTTGTCTGAGTTGTATCGTGATTGAATTCTATGTGGACAGTTAACTTGTATATATTTTTTTTCACTGGGAGACTGCCCATCTCGAACAATTAATGCCTGGAGTGGTATGGGGCAGGGAAAAAAGTCCATCTGTCCTCGAGTAGTGTGCCAACCCTAATCTCTAAGATTGATTATACATTGTTTCAAAGACAGATAATTTGTTAGTCGTTTACACTTGATAAACTACTGTACGAAAAAGCAATTTCCTTATTCCAGCGAGGCTGGCCTCGGAGCACTCTTGGATAGAGCAATTCAGGCAGGATGTTTTGAAAATAGAATTTTTCCAGTTCCTGGAGTGGACCTCCCCAAAAACCATCGTTAAACTCGACTAATTCATGATTCAACGGAACTCCATCTGAAACAGCAAATGTGACTGCTTGTACTTGCTACAGAATAGTTGTTGTTGAAGTTGGTAGAAGTACTTATGGTTTGTGTTCAAAACAATTTTCTCCTTATTTCGTTTGTAAATACCAGGTATACAGAGGGTATCTTCTCAGGATTCGCTCTCTTTTCATGTTACTTAATTCTTGATTTCCACTAAGGGTCCTTTCTCAGTAGGTACTAGCACCTAAGAAAGGGTGAGCTTCGGAAATGAAAAATCCACATTTCCCCATAACATTTCCTGTCTTGATGAACCTTTCTATGATTCTGGGCTCCATATCAATGCCCTCCTTCATGAGCTTCTTTAGAATATTTGGCTTTCTGAAATTGCCTTTGTTGGGCTTGTACTTCAATTCAGTTCTGAATCGCGAGGATCCTGTGCTGCCGGTTCTGGGCCATTATTCTGTGGGGAACATAAGGTAAAATGGAGGATTAGCTTGCACAAAGTGGAAACGTCATGGGAAAACAAGTTGCTGCGTGCCAAATTGCGTAAATTCCTGGCAGAATTCACCAGGAATTAAATGGCATTTCCTTCCAAAAAACAAAACAATCCTGAAGGACTTACAGAAGGCTAATGCGAAACGAAACTATTAAGGAATTTTCCCCGAATACTCGGAAATGTTTATTGCACTTTCCCGGAAGTAAAAGAATGTTGAGGACTCAATTACCTTCGATCTTTCCTAGGACAGAGCCAAGCAAAACCCGTCGCGAGATAGTAAAAAACCACTTACTCAATACACGCAAGAGGAGAAAAGATGAAGACACGGTAAGCTCACTAGTCGAGTCACCAACACAGTTAAGTAATGCTGTAAACGACATTCAAAGACTGCCATCTGAAACTGTAAGGTCTGTAAGCTCGCTTGTCGAATCGTCAACATCTAATACTGAAGACGAAATTCAAGGATCGCTCATTGAATTGGGAAAAAAATTAAAAGAGAGCAAAGTGAAAAGGAGGAAATTCAAAGACAAGCTGAACAGAAAGAAAATGAAAGATTACAGATACATGTTTTGGGGGACGAGGGCGATTGATCTGATAAACAATTAGTACTGTGCCAGTTCTTAAACGGTGACTGTTCCTGACGCAGGGAAACGAGGAGAACTTGTCGAAAGGTGAACCATTATAGTTTTAGTTTCGATGCAGTTTCTTGACGATACTTTTTGACAACGCCAAGATAGAAATAAAATCACAAAATGTTACTGCTTTGTTTGACTTTTAGAGTGAATGATTACATAAAAAATGGGCTTGATAAAGATAGTGGATTGAATTTAGAAAAGAAAAGAAAAAACTCAGGAGCAGCTGATGAAGTCGATCCCGAAATCCAAACTGACTTTCCTTCCGATGGATTCGAGTGTGGTATTTCGGTGTTTCCAAGAATATCATTCATCCAGATTTGGAAGTACTTAATTGAAGACGTCGAAATTAGGAAGAAGCTGGCCACCGAAAAGCCGATTTAAAAGGATACAAATTTTATAAATCTGGCCACGTTCGACAGATGTTTCCAAAAGGATGAAAATAATTCATTGATTAAAAAAGGTGTATATACCGTCCGGGCTGCCCGGCTAGAGTAGATGGCCGATATAACCATCTTGCTGCGACTTTGTTTGCAATAGAGGATAAACAGAACAATGAAGTTTTCACGAGTGCTGCAAACACTGCTGGCGCTGTGAGTCACCAAGAAACTAATGTGCTGCCCACCTCAAAGCCATGCCGATGGAATTTACCGAAAAAAAGAAAAATAAATGCAGAACCCATACAGTCTTTGAAGTTTCAAAAACACGAATATGTTAAAGAGGAGAAACGATCTGTAAGACCTCAGAAAGATGTCAGAGCTCCTCATGAGCGAACAATCTCCGATTCTGAGCTCAAGAGCTTTTATTAGTAGGTGAAAATAGTTGAAAAGGAAACGGGAAAAAAGATTGGTCTTAGTTTTATTTTACCGTTCCCCAAATCAGCCCCAACACGCCTGCTATGCGAGCCTAATTTGTTACCAGGATTATTTTGAACTTCGGAACGGAGAATTTTGCGTTCTTTAAACCTGCTAGTGATTATTCCTACTTGCTCACTTCGACAATTAGTGGCGAACTCATAAGAGCCACATCCAAGTCCAGAAACAGAAACAATATACGTCATTTTTTGGTAACGGCGGTTTGAGGGTCTGAGTTTTCTAGTCAGAGTTTGGGGGAACTGAGTTTTCTAGTCAGACAATTTTTTTCTATTTTTTCGGAGGGGTGGGGTTGGGGGATGTTTGCGGTTTCTAAGTCTAAGTTTTCTAGATTTTGGGGGCGCTGAGTTTTGAGGTCTGAGGTCTGAGTTCTAGACACCCAATCATAAATGCATTAATTATTTGTTTTTCTGTTGCTTGGTGATGATTTCTTTCCTTGTTAAGACTTACAGATATGAGTATCTATAGACAGTACACTTGTTACATTCTCAAGTTCATTAGTAGCTGGGAAGGAAAATCAAAATCTCAATCCCGTCATATTAGACGGAGCATCCACACAAAATACCCTATTTATTCGAATAAGCGCCCACCTCGAATAAGCGCCCATCCTAAAGGCAGAAAAAGTTAATAAGTGCCCAGCCTCGAATAAGCGCCCACCCCCTTCTCCTCCCAATCAAACTTAAATAAGCGCTCACCCCCACCCCACCAACTTGAGTGAATAAATTTTAATAAGAGAGGACGGAGTTTTCTTCAGAGTATTTTACAGAAACCTTGCTTTGTTACTTATTCGCGTTTTGTTATTAGCATTTATTGTTTTGTTGCAAAATAAACATACTTCACTTGCTGAAAATGGTGAAAATTTAATAAGCGCCCAGCCTCGAATAAGCGCCCACTCTAAAGTTCCAAAAATTTAATAAGCGCCCAGAGCGGTTATTCGAATAAATACGGTAAGTAAATTGTATTAACTTTGAGAATGTATATCAACAGTTAATATTGTTCCAGATTGGTTTGAAACCTCTTTATGTTGCACAAAAAGATCAACCAATGGTATAGTGCATATGTAGCAATATGAACACAAATGATGAAACAGAGGATTCACCACGAAGTGAATAGTATACGAATTTCCTTTCAAACCTCACTGAGCACGAGAACGACGGAACCCTTAGAACTACGATTATTTATTGACTACATTTAGAGTTAATTCTCTGATCCACTGCCTCAAATGAAAGTATGATGACATAACCATGCTACATAGAAAATTAGACTAGTCATTAAATCTTGATCTCTGTTGTATGATGAGTGCCTCCTTTTCTTGTCTTTGATGTTGACTTGTGAGGGGCTTGGAAATAGCCTAAAGCCGATCAGTACATTGGAGAATAATATGAATGGATATATTCAACCTAACCTGTTCACAAAAAAACGTCTGCTGTATGGTATTATGGTACAACACATTTCACTAAAATTGAGCTGGAATAAAAAAATCGAACTTTTGGTTCATTTGACCTTTAAAACGATCTGCACTTTGTACTTGTACAGCTGTATTTCGTATTTCTCGCATTTTTTTTTTTATTTTATTTTCCTAAAACAAGAACGCAAAGGTGAAGGTACTATAAAGAGGGTTCCAATGAGGGAAGAGGGAAGACGAGTGTCGAGTTTGTGAAATGATGTAGAATTCTCGCAATGTAAGATCCAGAATTAATTTTTATCAAGCAGTTGCTGAGGGAACAGTCAGAGCTGGACAACAAGGGAATGTAGCCTGAGTTAATATTAAGAATTCAACTTCGCAATCGTGCGTGGAAGGTTTATACTAGAAAAATTAAAGCTATTTACGAACTCTTGAAATTCCTATAAGTACATTCTTATAACGTGACAAAAGGGCTGAGAGTCGAGGATCTGCAAGAAAGCCTTTATAAAAGTAAGTTCCCGGCGGTTTTATTACCGGCAAGAAGAAATACTTGAGCAGAAATTCTCTAAGGATTAGATCGTCTCGTCTTCAACAACCGGTAATACCGGTCGAACAGGAAATGACTAACACATAGGTAACATGATTTTTCTTTCTTCTATTTTTTTTTTATTTTTTATTTTTTATTTTTATTTTTAATAACATTTATTCAATCAACAATCAACAATCAAAAATACTTACAAACACTACGATACTTACACTACTTACAATACAATAGAATACAATAGACTAAGGTACTTACTCTGTTTACAATGTAAAGACTTACAATACTCAGTACTTACAACACTACCTACTCACTACTCACACTACAATGCACTATTTACAAGCAGTAAACGGTAAACGCACTTATATCTTAAGTGTCTTAAAGAGGCAGCGATTGTGAAGCAAAAGATACACCAGGTTAATGCTGGAGAAAATGAGCAGAGGATCGAGATATACAAATGTATACAAAACAAAGGCTTACTGAAATAAGGAGCTCACATTTTCCCATTTTTTTGGTAAAATGGGACCTGCAGTGGTCTCTATGTGGTAGAATGATTTGAGGTATTGCAGGAAGCCTGCTATCTTTGGCGAGGTTTCCGAGGTTTCCGAGGTTTCTAATCCAGATGTAATTTCTGGCTAGAAGGAAAAGGAAATTAATTTGCTGGCAGTTTTTTGAAGAATCCGGCTTTAGACCAAGTACAACAAATATATCTAAAGTGTAATGTTCCGGTGTAATGTGGAGCAAAGTCAGCTTAAGAGATAAACTATGCCAGAAAAAGGCCACTTTAGGACAAGACCAAAAAAGATGAAGAAGTCTCTCCGGTTCATTATTACAAAAAGAACAATTTGGGTTGTCTTTTACGCCAATTTTTGTTAAGAAGTCGTTCGTTGATATTCGTCTGTGTAAAAATTTATATTGGAATTCAATAATTCTTGTACTTTTAGTATATTTAGCGGCCAACTGGTAGGCTTCCCGCCAATTAATCGCCTCCACATCATTTTCGTTGCAGTCTTTTAGCCATTTCTGTTGATTATGGGATGGTAACTTGCATTTTGTAGAAAGCAACTTGGTGTATACAAGTTTGCTCGCACTTTGGCATTCTGTTAATCTTACTATAAAGGTTTCATAATTGTTGCAGTTTTTGATACAGTTTGTTTTACATGTAGTCCAAAGAGATTTTAGAGCAGACACTAGTCCGAAATACTTTAAAAGACAAACTTTGAGGCTGTATTTTTGCTGCAGCTCAGCTAGTGATAGAAATTTGTTATGTTCATCTTTCAAATGTTTCACTTTCGTAACGCCTCGATCAAACCATTGACGATAAAAGACGGAACAGTTATCGATTCTAATGAGTGAGTTGTGCCATAAAGTTTGTTCAAGAAATTGTTTCTCGGACGTTTTGTTTTCATCAAAATTGACTTCCGCCCAGATTGAAAGTATCTCTTTTATAAAGTTATTCTTAATCTTGAGATTCTCAATAGTATCTTTCTTGTTTAAGTTACTAGTGAGGACTATTGTGCCTCCAAATCGCTCTAACTCTATATCAAAAAAATATTTCCATTTTCCCTGGTTCTCTTCATCCAGATATTTTTTAATCCATGTAGCTTTCAGGGACTTGTTAAAAGACTGTATGTCTATCATTTTAAGTCCTCCATTAGCATAATCGTTTGTTATAATGTCTCGTTTGATTTTATCTCCTTTTCCATTCCAGAGGAATGAAAAAAATAACTTGTTTACTTCTTTGATAATTTTCACATTTGTATGTAAAGGTGAGAGCACATAAACGAGCTGAGAGGCAACCAGACTTTTTAGGACAGTTATCTTTCCAACTAGGGTAAGTCTACGGTATTTCCAGCAGCTCAAAACACTCCGTACCTTATCTAGTTTTTCATTATAATTTGAAGTTGCAGTTGCTTCCGTATCATTTGAAAACCAGACACCTAAAGCTTTAACTTTACACTTCGGCCATTTAAAGTTTCTTCCGAGAATTGATATTTCATCTTTGTTACAATTTGCCCCAATCCAAAAGGCTTCTGTTTTTTTGTCATTAAGTTTTAAGCCAGAGACTTCATAAAAATCGTCCAGTGTTTTGAGAGAGGCTATTAACGATTCCTTTGTTCCATCTAGTATAAGAGTTGTATCGTCTGCATACTGACTTAGTTTTATTTCTTTACCGTTTACAAAGATCCCTTTAATACTTTCATTTTCACGAATTGCCTTAGCTAAAACTTCTACTGCCAGAACAAACAGATAAGGTGAAAGGGGACAGCCTTACCTTACACCTTTTTGGATTTCAAAAAAATCGCTCGCCCAACCATTATTCAAAACGCAGCTTTCTGGGCAGCAATAGAAAAGGTTTAGCCATTTTAAGATGCTACTACCAAAACCAAAATGTTGAAAGGTTTTCCTAATGAAAGGCCATTCTATCGTGTCAAAAGCTTTTTCAAAATCTAAAAACAAAAGTAATCCTGGTATATTGTTTTCTTTAGCGTAGCAAATAACGCTATCGATAAGGCGGATGTTTTCTCCGATAAAACGACCTCTTATAAAGCCAGTCTGGTCGTAATTAATGAGATCAGGGAGGAGAGGTTTCAAGCGATTAGCAATTGATTTTGCCGCTATTTTATAGTCGCTGTTCAGGAGGGTTAGGGGTCTCCAATTCTTAATAAAGAACGGTTCTGCGTCTTTCTTAGGGATAAGTTTGATAATTCCTCTTCTCTGGGTTATTGAGAGTTTTCCAACTTTAACACTATTTTGGTGAGTTTTAGTAAGACCACCCATCTTGTCCTTCTCTAAATCCAGTACAAGGTTGTAGTCGCCTCCTATAATAATATCCTTCCCATTTGAAATCTGCAAGGTGATCAAAGAAGTCAAGGAAGAAAGTTGGATTGTCTTCATTAGGAGCATATATGTTCCCTAAAGTAAAACACTTTTCATTGGTTTTAATGTCGCAAATAATGAAGCGTCCTTGGGGGTCAGTGTAAGTTTTTTCTATTTGAAAATCGAAGTTGTTGTTGAAAAGAATGCATACCCCTGCTTTATTGCTCTTAGAAGTACTAAAAATAGCTTGATAGCCCCATTCAGCAGACCATACGTGATTAGTATTTTCAGTGCAGTGGACTTCTTGTAGCATATATGCTGAGTAATTTTTTTTGCGAAGCCAATTAAACACCTCTCTACGCTTTGTATTGTCTCTTAATCCCCTGACGTTTAGTGATGCTATTGTCAAAGCCATAGATATTCTCTTAGGCAGCTTTGCAGAGGAAGCCTTACATCACCTGGTGTCAAAGCTCCACAATCGCTGCACGGTATGATAGGAATTTGTACTAGGCGTTTACTTCTAAAACAAATGATTAAGCTATTAAAACATAGAAACCAAACAGAACATGCACAGATAAACACAACTAAATAAGAAACCTCTTCGTAAAGGGACATGGGGGGGAAGCTAGGACTTTTACCTAGAATCTTACAGACAGATACGAAAAACCGAAGCGCCATCAGTTACGAACCCCTATTCCGATCGCCTAAATAATTATCTAGCAATTGATAATAACGGGTGGCAAATGTAGTCAAACGATACTAACGTGATCTTGGTTACCTAATGAGTAATGACATGATGAAGAAGCATTCTCACCTATCCTGGTATCTCGAGAGGTTTACCAACTGGCCAAATTTTACCTTTTATCAAGAGCTTATCCGGTTGTGCCCGACTAAAAGATGCAGGGATGTTATTTTTCCTAGCTTCTTTAAAAGTGTCCATTTGCTTTCTTCTTCTTGCTACTATTTCGTAGGGTAGATCTTGATACATTTTAAATCTGCTTCCTCGCAAACGGGAGCCCAAAGCTAGAATTTCTTCACAGTTCTTATAGCGGAGGAACCTTGCGATAATTTGCCTGGGCTTTTCTTCCTTTTTCTTTCCTAAGCGATGAACCCTCTGTATTTCAACGGTGCTTGCATCTTTGTATCCTAATTCCGTCTCGAGGAAGGTGCGAACAACTAATTCAGTGTCTTCTTTGTCTGTTTCTTGCACAATATTTTCAAAAATTATATTTTCCCGCCTCGAGTAGGCTTCCAAATAGAGATTCTTGTCTTGTACCTCTTTAAGCTTAGCTTCTAAATCATCATTTTTCTTCTGCAAATCGGTTAAAGCGAGATCTGTTTTCTCCTGGTAAAATTTTAGGCTCGCTGTCGAATTCTGCTGTTGCTTCTCAGCTTTATTTAAGCTTTCTTTCAAGTTCTCCATGTCGTGGCTGGCGGTTGTTTGCGAATATTCCAGCTTCTGTATTCTTCCTTCCAATTTTTGAAGGGACGTTTGGACATCATTTACTGTTGTTTGGATAGCGTCTAGCTTTTCCAGCTTTCGATCTATCTCCTCCAAAGCTTTATGAAAGCCTTCGGCCATGTTCAAAACCGTAAAGATTTCGTCTCCACCCTCGTGCTTCTCGACTTCTTCAGGAGAGTTTACTTCATCACTCCTCGCTTTTTTTGCTTCTGGTGAAGTGCTCGACTCCTCTGAAGAGGAACGCTCGCTTCTTTTCCGTTCCAAGATCTTTTTCAACAGTTCTTCCATTTACCACCCGGGAGAAAAAGAATATGTGGCGGACGGATCAAAGACACGTCTTACACCATTGCTACCCAGGCCCCTTTCTTTCTACTAGCGAGTAATTAAAACAAGCCGTTGGAAGATGAGACTTCTCAAAACCCGTCCTTAAATTAAAGCTTATCTGCCAAGAGGGTCTTTTCCTTCATGTGGTTGCTTTCTAACTGCTTTCTTCTATTTTTCTTTCGAGCTTAACTTGAAGCCTTTAGTTTCTAATTCTAACTATAAATTCTCGTAAGCCTTTAACTTTGCCTCGCCCGTCTTTCGCGCTTCTCACTCAGCAGAACCAACCTCGTCCCCAGGGCTTTTTCGTTAAAAAATGGGTGGGGCGGGAAAAAGCCCTGGCTTCGGCTGGTCAGGTGCCCCCTCGTACACCCTAAAATCCTGGGTGTAATAAATAAGCGCTATGTGAAAAGCTAAAATTATGCGTAACCTCACAGCGCGCGATCTTGGGCGGCCTTTTATATCTCTTGACGATTAACGAAAAGTTTTACAAGGTTTCCTTTTTGTCACAGATACTGGCTATGGTAATTTTTTGCTTTCCTCCGATTTCTATGAAGGGAACAGCGAGCAGTAACATTTGTAAAACTTCCTTTACAGAGCGATATAAATGACAAACAAGCTACCGTACATGCATAAAGTTTGTACTGGAAAAGTTCGTTTTCGCGAGTCTTTTGATATTTTATTTTATTTCTTGCGAAGTGGACCGCCGTACACAACCTAGTTCCATTCACCTTAACTCTCAGCCATATCATCATAGCGATACGCGTTGGTTTAGACTTATCTTGTATGACCTATATTTTTTAAAAAAAAATATTGTCCTCTGCGAGACTTGACCGAAACCGGAAACCGCGCATGATAAGTCTCTGGCACCCAGGTTATCAAGCGACTGGTAACAAAGAAAGACTTGGGTCCATTTAAAATTGACATAGCTGTAGTTGATTCCAATCGATCGGTCAATCTTTCCTTTAATATAAGGAAAATCCTTTGTACTTATCCTCGGAAGAGAAAAGATATAAGAGATCTTCAAATGTTCCAGATCGGCGACCTGTCATCGTTCCTGGCTGGATGGCTGACTTGCATCCGGCGCGGAGATTTGTTTGTTTCATGGTCGGGTTGTAGAGAAGACCAGACTCCATAAAGTATGTATTAGGCCATATTATAGCGCAACCATGTAAGAGCAAGTCTATGAAAACAGAGAAATTTGGGCCTGGTCCTACTTTTCCTTTTAACCACAGGTTGTGGCATTAGTGGTGAAAACATCAAGGAAATGCCCTCACCTAGCTACATAAGTACCTCTATGGGAATAATCCAGAAAGGGCTTGGCAGCTACATCCTTTTCTGATTTGATACCATACGGCTTTATTAGGAAGGTTGCATTGACTACGGCTGCAACATACTGTGACTGAAAATTACTACCAAAGGCACTTACCAGACATCAGAACTTGCTGGCTGGACGGGTTATTTTTGAAAATAAAATATTAATCATTTTTCGAAATTTTCCATTAAAACCACCATTGCCAAACATTACCATTTAAGAATAGACTTATCCGGCTGGGTAGGTGTGATCTATAGTTAAATTCCCTTTAGATTAGGCAAGGCTGATCGGACATGTGAGGGTCGGTAATTTATTTCCCCAATATTTCAACTAGACAAAACTAGTCTTCCGGTACATGTGTAAAGAGGTAACTATAAAATCATATAATAGATTAAGTTTCGCCTCGTCTGTTTATCCCGTCTGTTCAAAAGTTTTTCCTTGTTGGGAAGGGTTGGATTGAATATTATTACAAATGGTACTCTGTCAGATTCCTGTCTTGTCAGATGTTTCGAAGGCGTGGCTGCGTGAGATTCAAGAGCTAGAGCAAAAATCTTGAACCCTGTGGGAACAGAAGAGATGAAACTTAATCTGTTTAATACAAGTTTTACAAGTTTCCGTCTATTTTCTTTCTCCACCAACAACATTTTATTTTTATATCTGCATTTATTTATTCTAAATACTAAAACCTTTTATTCTATTCTCACTTAGCTTTTCTAGCCCCTA